GTAGAGGCAGTGTGATGCTTTGGACAATTTATTATTCATCATTATTGCTATATATGGACATTTTCAGAGTTATGAAAGTTTAAAGACTTTACACCCGATCAATTTTTATTCACTGACATTTGTTTGAGTCACTGATTATTGTTTTTTTTGTATTGCTCATTTTTGTAGCCCGCCTCGGGTCCTGCCATTCCTGTGGATGTTACTCTGACACGTACCCCCTACCAAAACACTGTTACTGTCCAAGTACACCCCTTCATAGAAATGGCATTCCCTGATGGCAGTGGCCTCTTTAAGCAGGATAATGCGCCCTGCCACACTGCAAACATGGTTTAGGAATGATTTAAGGAACACAACAACGAGTTTGAGATGATGACTTGGCCACCTAATTTTCCAGCTCTCAATCCAATGGAGCATGTGTGCTGTGCTGGAAAAATAAGTCCGATCCATGGAGGCCCCACCTACCAACTTACAGGACTTAAAGTGACATTAAACCCTCAGATTTTTTAACATAAACCCATACTGTAATGTGTGTCTTACTGTAATCCATGGTTGTTTCCCTTCTCTTTGCTGCTCTTCCTTTTAAATCCTCATGTCTTCTCATGCTTGGGGAGAACTTCCCTTTGCAGCGGAGTGCCTCTTCCTGTAGTGATGGCTCAGGTTGTAAACCTTCACACAGACACCATGTATCCATTTCAGAGACAAGGCAGTCTGCTGCAAAACAGAAGTTCTGCCCAGCATGAGAACAGATACAGATTTAAAAGGAAGAGCAGCAAAGAGAAGGGAAACCACCATGGATTACAGTAAGGCGCACATTACAGTATTGGTTTATGTTAAAAAATCTGAGGGTTTAATGTCACTTTAAAGGATCTGCTACTGACGGCTTGGTGCAAGATACCACAGCATACCTTCAGGGGTCTAGTGGGGTCCATGCCTCAACGGGACAGGAAAAGGGGGACCTACTCAATAATAGGCAAATTGTCATGTTATGGCTGATCAGTGTATTTTCTCACATACATACGTCTCCGTTCACACTGCTCGATTATCGTACGAAAACCCGATCGCATACGATTATCGTACGATAATCGTGCAGTGTATGGGCACCTTGAGTTAGTTTATGGCAGGACACGTAGTATAAGATATTCAGGCATGTAGGTTTTCATACTGTTCTGGGGGGTGCAGAGTATAAGGTAGGGGATTGGATTACCCATGTGGAATGTGTTGTGGCTCAGGTAAATCGGATAGCAGAATCCTGCAAACTAATATGGATAATAAAAGATCTCTCACACACAGCAGCAGCTAATTAATCACGATTACTGATCCCTCACCCTCTGTAGGAACTGAGATACATTAACTGCCAAAAGCCTGCCTATGCTTGCTCCATGAGTAATGCAGGCCCATACCTATGTAACTGGTAACTGAACAACAAATATCAACTGGAATCAAGATAATAACAGGTATTATTTATTTTCCACTGTTTCCTGTTAGTGTGTAGGCTGCCCCCAAAATTCCCTACAAACACTAAAAAAAATGGCGTCTGACCAAAATTTGATCCGAGTCTTTATGTATTGTATCTTTCAAAGTTTTAGTTTCCTGCAGAATCAGCTGGTCCCCTGAGCACTGGCCCTGATATCCTGTTAGGGCCGGTTCACATCACAAACGAACGGTCGGCCTCTGGCACTGTATGGCATCGTCGCCGCCTTCCTGCGTTCAGGGGCATTGAAGTAAATGGCATGGCAGCCACGCCCCCATAGTGCGATCGCCCGCACAGAAGGCATGGCACATCAGTGCCTGTGTTCAGGTCCAGTGCGATCTGCAAAAATGCTGCAAGCAATCTGATTGTACAATAGCCTTTAGCTCTACCCTCAAGCATGTAGTGCAAGCGTCGGACTAAATGGATTTCTTCAAGAAAAATACAGCAAGTCCAGTTGCCTTGCCTTATTTTTTTCACAGATATACCATGACCTGGATAAATGAGAACCTTCACAGAAGCCTGATTGGATAGATTAGGTAGGTCCTCATATGACATAGTTTTGTTAAATATAGAATTGATTGTACGGCCAGATTGTAACGCGTGTGGTGACCCTAATGGCCCGTTCACACCAGTTGCAGTGCGTTCCGGCCGCATTCTGGCAAGAACGCACTGCCTCGCTGCAAGCACTATTTTGATCGCACCGCACCAGACCGCAGGCACAATGTGCCTTGCGATCCCATGCGGGCAATCTCATTGCGGCCAGAGGGCGTGGCTACGGTGCCATTCACTTCAATGGCCCGTCACGCCCAAACCTGCCCTACAAAAAAGTGAGCCGGCCACACTGCATATGGTGTGAACGTACCCTAAGAGGGGCTCCTCCGGTGCCCCTACTCACCTAAACTACTACTCTACACCCTGTCTCTGTATTGTCACCTGTATATTAACCCTTCATCTGCCACATCCTCTGCAATATCCCCCTCATCTCCATCCTCCCACTGTATGTGACCTGTACATTAACCCCTTATAGCTGCTGAGACATGTGTAAATCTGACTGTTGGCATTACACTGGAAGTAATTCTTGCGGTTGAGCTACCGGCAGATTGCTTCCAGAGGCCAGTGTAGTGCACACCCCAACATCCCCCCCCCCAACACCCCCAAGTTGCTTCCTGGGCTACGCTGCCCCTCCTGCAGGCCTGGGACTAGCATCACTGGTTGTGGTGGGAAGCAGGGAAGGAGACAGGTTAACATCTATTCACCAATCTCCTGCCCGCTGAATGGGGCTGGAAGCGACGCTGATTGCATCACTCCCGGTCCCTTGGCTGACACTGGCAGAAGTCTGCGCTCCAATAGCTTCTTTGGAGTAGAAAGGTGCCGCTAGGGTTCCAAATGACTCCTAATATCACCTTAAAGAGAACCTGGGAGGGGGCTTGTAAGTAAGCAATTCAGTAAAAAAAAAAATAGTAACATAAATTAAAATTGAAAATAAAATAAATGGAAAAATAAAAAAATTGTAAAGTCCCACGCCCCTGCGAGCGCGCACATATTACCATAAGTGTATTTTTTACTAAAAGTTTGGGTGTGATAAAAAGTTGCGCTAATATCGTGCAACATAACAATTTGCACTGTCACCATTTTATTTTACAGGGTCTGTGCTATCAGAATATATTTATAAAATCTTTTGGAGCTTTTAAGTAATTTTCAGGCATAAAATGTGTGCCAAAAAAATTCAAAAACACCCTGGCAGCGAAAGGGCTAATCCCTTCACCTCCTGATCCCTCTGTGTATGATCTAGTCCGCCATTACCAAGCTCCATGTTTTAACCCCTTCAATACTACCATGTCACTTTATTTCCCCCAAAAAATAGATCACTTTGGGGTGTCTACAAAAAGGTGTCATTTTGGGTGAGTTTGTATTGTTCTGGCATTTATTATTTTAACAGAAAGTATGGGGGACAGTTGTTTTTTCAAAACTTTTGGTATTTTTTTTCTACAAAAAAAACAAATAAAAAAACCAAGAGGTTACTAAATATCGACAAAAAGAAAGCTCCATCTGTCTGAAAACAATTATATAAATTCACATGGGCACTGTGTTGCATGTGCCCATGTGAGTCATTGTCACTCAAAGTGGTTAATGAATTTCATAGATATTTCAGATGCCTTTTACTTCATTTTACATACCAGTTCTTTATACCTTGGTAAATAATAATGGTTGTAGTCACGTGGTATGCATTTGTTTTGCCACCTTTTATAAATAGCTCTGTATGAGATGTTTAGTAAAAGTTGTAAGCTGAACATGTAGCTGAAGACTGGAAAAGGAGAAGACAACAGCGCCATCGTCTGGAGACGGAGATGCTGTACAGCAATGCCGCAGATGATACAATGGAGCTTTCAGCAACATCTCAGCAGCTTCTCTTTAGGAGATGTGTTCCCAGAAAGTCCACTCCACTCACTCTAATCTGCAACATAACCCTTCCCCGACCGAGGTCACTGAAGCTTAGTGGAACTAATTTAGGTCCTTTAGTAAACTTGAAAATACCTCTACAACTAATTTGCCTACTGAAAATATTTTTTTAAGGAAAATATAGGACTCTTATTTGGTACACTGTTTAAATCAATTCTCTGCATATGTTTATAGTGTA